AATGCTTTGGAGAAGTCGAGGTACACGACGTCTACTGCATCACCGTGATCAGCTGCTTTTGTCCACTCTTCTCGGGCCAGAAGCAGGTTAGTGGTACATGATCGACGGCGACGAAACCCATGTTGAGCCGGGGGATAATATGTTGTATTTTTCCAAGTGATTCATCACATTCTCTGCAACAATGGATTCCATGACTTTGGATAATACGGGGAGGAGAGTAACGGGGCGGTATTTAGCTGGGTCGCTACGACAACCGCCCTTGTATATTGGAGAGATTATTCCTTGTTTTCATGTTTTTGGGAGCGCAGTTTTGTTGAACATTTGTTGGAATAGTTTGCTTAGTGATTGAGCTAAGTTACTCGCCAGATTGATAAGGGTCTGTGGATGGATATTATCTACCCCTGGAGATGAGTTCCTTTTCAAACACTGCAGGTTCGATGCAACGATTTCTGGGGGAAAATCAATTGTGGTGAGCACTGGTTTTGATGTATCCTCAAGTAACAGAGGCAATCGTAGTCCGGTGTTCGCAGGTGCGGTGAACACTTGAGTGCACTGACGTTTTAGCATTTCAGCTGCCTCCTTTGTTGTGAATGAAACACGTTCTGCCACGCATAACGCTGGAACACCAGACTTAACTTTTCTGGTGACATTTATGTGTTTGTACAACAGCTTGGGATTTGATATGCACTTGCGCATGAGCATTCCTCGGTGTATTAACTTGTCTTCTCGCACCACCTTGGTGCAGTGGTTTCGGAGTTGACAGTAGGTATACCATGTGTTGTAGCAAGGAGATAGTTTGTAAGCTCTCCATGAGATATTCCTCTGTGAAATCCACTTTTTAGTCCGGCTTCGAATTGCTGATCTTTGACCAGTTGAGTAGGTGATGCGTTTGGTCTTCGTCGCGCCTTTCACCAATTCCGTCAGGTGGTTTGTAAATTCTCCTCAGGATACCAGGGGATCGCAATGTTCGTTGGGAAATTTCCACTGGAAATCTCTCGCCAAAATTTGAAGTTTAGTGTAGTCAACAAACATACAGAAGCTAACCGTAGAATTGTGCGGTACGGAAGCATAGCAAATGTAGTCAAACGTCAGGACAGTATTATCGCTACGCCCTAACGGAGTTGCAGTGGAAATCGTTTCCACCATCAGTTCTTCGTTAGCTAACATCAGGTCCAGAACTGATGGTGACTGGTTGGCTCCAAACCTCGTGGGCTCCTTCACAAAATTGTAAAGTGGATAGGATTCCATGAGCTGTGCAAGTTTCCTCTCAAACGGTTGTAGAGAGGTCGCTGATTTAGCTAGGTTAAGGCAATTGAAGTCTCCCATAATGAGAACATGTGTGAACTTCAGTGACAGTATATGATACATGGTTTGCAATAATGTCTCATTGGCTGAGTCTGACGACGAGGGGGAGCGGTACACCACACCGATCAAGCCGATATCGCGCTGCGACAGTCGCACTTTGCACCATAGTGAGTCAGAAACCACAGCAGGATAATCAATCACTTTGCACTTTAGTTTTCTGCTAAAGTAGAGTAACACCCCACCACCCCTTGTAGGTCGATCGCGTCTGAGCAGAGTCATGCCGGGTAAGCTTAACTCTAAGTCCAGAATGTCCGTTGTCAGCCAGGTTTCGGTGACTGCAATAATGTCCCATTGACCAGTTTGGCAACGCAGTTCTACCTCTGAAAATTTGGGAGTTGGTGGCGCAGCAGAAACTCGTCGGGTAGCATGGGGTTAGTTGAGCCGACCACGATACGGTCGGCTAAGGGAAGTTTTTTGGGAGAATAGTTTTCTGGGACAGATCTGCCAGTTTCGGGAAGAAAAGTCTGTGGGAACCCAGTTTTTATGGAGGTGATATTTTCTGCCGGTGAAACACTTTTGGTCCCTGTGTTGTGCATGGGTCTCCACCTCAGCTCTGATGGTCCCTCGATCTTGTTGTCGTACCAAGACTGCAAGACAGTCGGAGCCATTTCTGATTTGTCTAGAGTTATTTTCAGAATTCTCGGGCCGTCTCCGCGATAGTTAGGAAAACAGGGGAGACGGTTAACTGCTGAAATCGTGATCAGGCGACATCCGATGAGATCTTGAATGAATCGCCACTCTTTACAATCATTTTGCTGCGTCTGGATCATTTAATTGTGGGACTCCGTGTATAAGAATCACCCGGGCATTGTCCGTTTTCTGTGCGCTGTCCGGGTTATTTCGTTGGCACGCGCGCTCTCTCCATGGTCTGTCTGGTAGAATCCTTATTTTATTTGAACTTCCTCGAAGGAGAAAGCTGGACAGAAGAACATTTTTTACGTCTGATTCGCTACATAGTGTCACCCGGATTAACCGGGGTTCTCCGGCATGAGGTGAATTAGGCTGTCGCCGAAGGCGCGTGAGACCCGTAGGTTGGGCGCTGATCTCCATTTGCGTACACAGAGCCTCCCAGTACCTCAGCTCTTCGTCTCGTCTTTCTCTCAGTGACAATGCCGTGGGCTCAAGAACGTTTGTGCAGATCACAGTCAAAGAACTGTTAGCCATGTCTTTCTTTTTTGCAGGCAGAGCTGTTATCTTTGAAGAAGCAGATAAGGAAGGCCACTGGATGTGTGTGGGCTCCGAGGTGGCAGGTGCTTCTAATGTTGCTTCTGTCCTCGCACCCGGTTCAGCCGTGTGCGTCCCTTGCCGAGGGGTGACTACTTGTGTTGAGCATTTTGGTCGTTTGCTGGGTTTCCGGATCGGGCTATCTGGTGTGATCCGGGAACTTAAGTCCCTTATTGTTGCCTCGAGTGTGGCGATTTTTGAATTCGCTCTTTCTTCGCCTGCTGATAATAGCTTCTCGTACTTGCGTGTGATGCAAGTGATGCATTTTATAATCGGGATTTCCGCACATTCTGTACAGAACCATATACGTTCTGGCTGGGTGGTTAACTGTTTTGCCTGTTTTACCGAGAGTTTGGCACATGAAACCAGAAAGTGTTTCGAGCAGTGTGTGCAGAATATCCCCGTTTTGACGTCTTTCTTACATCTCTGTACGCCGCATACTTCCGATGCCGTCGGCACTTGCTGACGCTATGCGGCGTCCCATTTTTGCACTTTATCGCACGGCGAAACTGGCGAAGTATGAAAAGGTCACGTGAAGCGAGAGAAGTTGTTTCGGTCGCCCCCTCGTCCGGATCAGTGGAGGTCACAAGTACGCCGAACAATGACAAAGGTCACGTTGGGAATATCGATCGGCTTTGCCCGCCGCGGTGGAACAGACACAAGTGCGACTGCGGATGGCAGCAATGATTGCACTGAACAGCACAAATATATCCGTAGAATGCTTGAAATTGAACTTAAAAAGCTCAATCAGGGCTCGTTGGAAAGGTTGTTGAATTTCCCATTGAGTGATATCGCAATGTTGACATAGCGAATGAAATTGCACAATTTCGCACGCGTGAGTAAATCCCAAAACTTCGTGGAAAACAGAAAAACTGCTCAATGGAGAGATATGAGAGATTTACTTCCAATGGAATGATATCACGAGAGCTCACAGAATTGAGTCGAATGAACGTAGACTCGACGAAGTACGAGATTTCGCAGAGATACCGATTAAACCAGGAGCGCACAATTTGATCGACCGCACGTCAGTTGTGTCTCATTTGGTCGCGGCTCCGGGTTGGAAGAAACCACGTGGAGGTCAACAAACGACGTGAAAACGAGGCATGAAGAAATGCACAGAGCGATTAGATAGAATGGGTGTATCTTGTCTTCCACGTTGGGGGTCCGAAAGACTCCGGAACTGGCGGGTTGGAGACATTGAAGAATATGGCGACTAACCGACAACAGTGGCGTTCCTGTTGTCATTTCTTATCAGGTTCAAAGGGTATGTATGCACACTTCGATTGTGTAATCTGTGTTGACCATAGAGGTTCTTCTTCTTTGTCTCCCTCCAATAAGGCCCAATCCCTCTCTGCATCTTGTGCTTTATCACTTGATTTGTGTATATTGTGAGTTTGGCAGCGGTCAGTGAAGTTCGTCTCATTGTACCTCACTTTTCGATGACGATGCGAATCCATTGACCCAACTAGAGTTCGAACCCAGGACCTTGTCACAAGTAGAACGCAAGCACGCTACAAATTAGGCTACCGGAGAGCACATCAGTTTTTCATTTTCCATCTGCACGATATAGCACAACCCAAATTTGTGAGCTTGTTGCGGGTATCGCGCCTCGCGCACCTCAGTCCTAACCTCTGGTGTTATGACTCGGTTGGAAACTTTCACAACCTGACTACTTGTTGCTGATGAGATCCAACCACGTTGAAATAAGTGCCCGGCTGTGCTTCCTCGCTTTTCAGTTCACGCTTCATTTGCTCCACACAGGACGAATTATGTTTCTCTCCTTAACTTAACATTTTGTTGCACAAGGTAATCTCCCCCCCCCACACACACACACACATGCACACGCCGAGAACAAGGTGCGAATACTCACGATATAGCACTTGTAACACCTGTATAGTTCGACCAAATTCTCGAACTTTAGCTGCCGCTTCGGGGCCATCGAATACCTTGTCCACTAGTTCCTTAGCTCGTGGACAAAAACTGGACGATTTCAACAATCGATCATCTTTTGTGGGCATCGAGAACAAAGGTGGCGCGGCAGTTACCGTGGGATCCCATTTCTGTTCCGCGCTAGTGAACAGACCGTGAATGAAACTGGTGGCCGACTGGATTGTTCGCGAAGTACCGGAACTGCGAAAGAAGAAAAAATTCTGAAACGACAAAGATGACAAAGGTTTGATATGGACGGGAGTATTAATTTGAGAACTAGCTCTACTCGAACACAAGAACAGTGAAAATGCGGAAACGGTGGACTGGGGATTCCGACAAGGTGATGATTATGAAAAGTATTCAACCATGGGAAAAAAACTATTGTGGCAAACGGGAAAAAATAATCTCATTGGTTAATTGGGACTAATTTCGTCTTTGGATTGGATGTGGAATTCTCACTGATCACATAATTGTCAGGTCATCCGATTTTTGGGATCACTCGGAATATCGGGTGGGCCAAAGGAGCTTAAGTGTCAGAGATAAACTTGCAGATTCTATCATAGACAGACAATTATAAGCATGTGAAAATTTCGCTGTCAAAATACTCTCAGACACTCACCACCCAACGAATTTCCAAAACCTATATCTACCTCATCCACAAGCTTAAGATTTAAACTTTTATTTGTGCGTATCTCTTCTTATTGTACTTTGGTAGTGTCATATCTAGCAATTACGCAACTGCTTGCTTCATTGACAAACACAATCTATACTGCTTTCGGTGTCATTATATATGATTTTGTAAAATTTCAATCTACCAATATGGTGTGCATGCTGAAAATTCACCATACAGAGTGCACAAAGCTACTACTGATTTGACTTGAAGCATGACCTCTTGAACTGAATCCACACAGACAGGTCGCAAATCTATAAAAACACACAGCGGCTTAAAAACATGTATATATGAATGTCTCTTACGCTGCATCAGAATAAGATATTTTCTGAGGTTGGTGAATACAGTCAGGGGTTGATGTACGTGCCGAATCGCACACAGTATGTTACATGTCCAATTATAAATAACAATTAACAACAACGCGAGGCGAGGCGAGCACCAGAAATTTTTTTCCGACAAAAATGCTCCAGATCATTTCTGACAGGATGCATCCCCGTCCAATACCGGAACGGTTAAAACATTGCTTTACACAATCATGGAAAATGTGTAGCAGGCTGTGATTGAATATATAAATACAAATGTATCTATAAACTGAGGCGCCTACTTTTTCAGTTACGCAAACTCAGGCTATTCCGAACCCCATAGTCGGTCCTGTCCTCTTTCGTTCATCAATGCGTTTCACCTATTCGACTCTATTACTTCCCTCTAATGCTTTCCCGTCTTTTAAGACAAGACTTCAAAACAGTTCGCCTTAGTTTAATGACCACAGTCGTGCATCATTAATTCCGATCGATTCATTAACCACAGAACCCATTGATGGTCACACATCAAATCTTGTGTTAAATTTACCCCTCTTCATCTACTGCACCCTGATCTATCGTCTTGTCGTTCCCACACACTCCTCATTTCGGCATCAACCCTCTCACATTCCCCTGTAACCCTACCTGGCCAAACTTCTAACCAAAAAGGAACAGGTCGCTAGGGTACTACATCAAATGGTTTGTGCATGAAATAAATATCAGTGACATTCTTTGCCTGTCGTGTTATATTTAATTTCATTATTAGTAGTAGTATTAGTAATTGTTGTTGTATTAGTGATAGTATTCCATTCCGCGTGACGAATAAGTGTACATTTTAACTGAAATGTAAGCATATATGCTTATACACAACTACAAATAGCAGGTGATTTATTAGGATGAGAACAGAATTTTCAGCTGCACTTTTACCGGACGAAACTGTCTCACACCTCGCAAGTCGGTCCACACACACACACCCCCTCCTGAATCGTTTGTGTGTGCGTGTGTTTGTGGTGGGGTGGGCTGGGCTGGCCAACTTGTGTTAACCTTTCGCTGCTCGTGAAAAACATATCAGAATAATCAGTCATTGCAGAATGAACTATGGACGAACGATGAACAAACACATTCAGTCAAGTTGAATGCTGAAGAATGAGAAGAACTCAAACGTCTGAGTCCTGACCAGGTGAGCAGCAGACCGCTTCAACTGTGAGAAAGAGCGTTTTCTTCACATCCGATCGATCAACAGGACGACGTGTGGACGGGCTTGTGAGTTGTGTTCACCCGATGTCATTTGGAACTTAATTTCGTCGGGCAAAAGTGTAACTACACCACGGCTGAAAGTTCTACTCAGCAGCAGTGTGTTTTCGTCTTACTGACTATGAAGAGCCTAACCGAATGCAGGACGAGTAAAACGGGGTTGAATGGTTCCATACGATGATAGCAAGTGTTAGGACGGAGCGCACAAAATCCGTCCTGCCACGCAGCGACGCGCGTCACACCACAAGTGCACTCGTGACGCCCAAGCCGAATCGACACCTGATTGGATGACTAAGGCGAATCAAATAGCTGTCGTCCGGTCGATCAACCTGAGTGTCAAGGTCACGATCTGATTAGCGCGTCACCACGTCTGCTCGCGTACGCCCAACTGACCACATATATTTTGCTTGTTGTTTCATGATCAAATATACACTCTGACTGCCGTTTCTCGGCAGTGTTCTTTCTCCAGTTGTTGGGGCCTACACGAGAGGCGTACGTATCGATCAGATCGTCTTGACATTAAGACATAACACTAAGATTGGTCTAGTCACTGTCATAATGCTTATTCAATTCTACAGTATTGATTTAGCTCCAGTTGAACGCGCAAAGAGACAGGAATCCAAGGTTGTACGCCACCACCGGTGCGAATCAGATAGTGTGAAGATCACAACTCAAGTAGCCAGATAGAAGAAAGCACAGCGACACAGAGTTCAGTCGAGTGGAACCACCCGCTGTGTGCTGTGCGCAACGTGACCTCGCCGTTAGTTTTTGCTTAATCATTTGTTTCGTTCTTGATCAGACAACCATTAAACTTGTGACTACGTGCGGTGGATTCGACTGCTGTCGCCGGCATTGAGTGTGTATAAATCACACGGGGCTAGAGGGTGGATAATGCAACTGAACTTGAGCACGAACAACCAGAGTTAGAGAATTTGACTGCTCTGCCTGGGGGAAAGCCGAAATCTCTTGTCTCTTTCAACCTCTGTCTGTCTGTCCGAAGTCTAGGTTAGTCATGCCATGAAGCAGATCAAGATGATCAACCTTACTCAATGCAAATGTGAGGACACAAACGAGTAGCACTGGATCTCGACCTCAACAGCAGTACTGATGAGTAAGACGGGATTGTAAGAACAAAGCGATAGATTTGAAAGGAACGGTTAACATGGTTACCAAATGAAAGATTCACTGTATTCAAAGGGGGGGGAGCAAATTTGACCATTTGAACAACACAAGAGAAGCAAACTCCTGCAATTCTCCAGTTCGTCCAATGATTAACGATGACGTGATGTCCGACCAAACCATCGTCACATGTCTCAAAGAGCCTCTGCTGAGGAGGCCCCGCCTGCACGTGGCGGAGGTATTTTCCCATCAAAGTGAGAGTGAAAAGCCAACGATCGGGTCGGTGAATCACCGAGCGACGTTAACGGAAAACCCAAACCAATGACACGCGTAAGAACCAGATACACACCTCTTCCTTGTTGTGGTGATCGTCTCCAGCTTGACTTGGCACCTTGAGTCCTTAACCCTTGCCAAAGGGCGTGTAACCCGATGAAATGGACACCTGCCACCAATGGATTGCGGTTGTAGCACACCAACAGACTGCCTTTCGGACCGGCTTTGGTTAGCTACATCTGGCTGTTTGTGAAGGATCGGGTGTATGCCGTGGCAGTTCGACCAGTTCTGCTATACGGCGCACAAACTTGGTCATTAAAAAAGCAAGATACAAATAGACTGTCGGTGTTTGAAAATCGCTGTCTACACAGCATTGCACGAGTCTGGTGGGGCAGCCGGGAAAGCAATGGAGGTTAGACGCAGAGTTTCCGGTAACCGCGGTCGCCCACTAGAGCAAGTGGTCGGTCTCCATAAATTACGTTCGTTGGGGCATATATTACGCATGTCACCAAATAGGTTGCCACGGCGAGCGATATCTACCGAGGCAGGTAGTGGGTGGAAAATAAGCCAAGGGTGGCCAAGTTAAGACCTGGAATGAGG